TTTTTAAGGTGCACAGAGTTTGTTATTGTGTAAACTTTTCTTGGTTAGATATTTTTATTCATTCATATTTGAGGGTTGGAAGGTTGATTGGTCATGGTGATTTCTTTTGTGAAGAATTTTTTCAAAGGTTGATTTTTTTTGTGGTTTGGATTTTTTCAGAATTTGTGGAATGGATTTTTTTGCAGGTTGAGGGTTTTGGAAAGGAAGGATGTTTGAAGCAGGATTTTCCCCCCAAATTGGAAAATGTTTCTTGCAGTTTTAATTTCAGGAGGAATAACTTTCAGCTGAGGATTTTTTTTCCTTTTCTTGGGTTATTAAAAGTTGTTGGATCACCCTGGAAAGGTACATTCTGAGCATTGATTCACAAGAATTTTTGAAACTTTCCCTTCAGATTTTTTTATAACCTTTCCAATTAAAAAAAAATTGGAATGCTTTGTTTTGGAACATTCAGCACTTCAGGAGCAAAGGAAAAAATGTTTGAAACGTTGCCAGATATTCAGAAGTATGCTGTTGTCATAAATTAGTTAAATTGGATCTTTTACAATCTTTTAAATCCAGACGTCTCTATATTCTCCAATTGTGTAACTTACCGTCGCAAGTTGTGTTAGAACTAATTTCAACAATTCCTTGAGAGGAGATTTCTGTATCCTTGTTACTGGGCAAATTAAATTCAACTCCTCTTTTATCAAAATATATGAGTGAGCTTTATTTCGTGTTCAACAGCAGAGATACCGTACTCTAACAAACTTCGGACAGCAATTAGCGCGCGAACAACAGAGAACAGGTGACTATATAGATTCGCTCAGGTAAGGTTGGGCAAGAATGGTCAGACCCGGATCTGACCTCATTCTAGGTGAGGTTGCGTAACCTTGTGGCGCGTGACTCGCGAGAGATCACGCGGCGGAACCGTGAGCCAGACGACGTGACAGCTCAGGTAAGGTTGGGCAAGAGTGGTCAGACCCGGATCTGACCTCATTCTAGGTGAGGTTGCGTAACCTTGTGGTGCGTGACTCGCGAGAGATCACGCGGCGGAACCGTGAGCCAGACGACGTGACTTTATTTGGAGCGTTGTCTGCTAGGTGAAAGGGAACGTAGCAAAGTTATTGATGACAAGTGATATATTTTATCTGAATTTCAGGAAAACCAGGCATGCTTCTTCCTCAAAACCTTTTAGCATTGAAAGGTTCATTCTACTCAAGAAAAAGAGTACCTGTCATGTATTGCTTGCACTTCTTATTTTAGTCCCTTGAAAAACTGATGCATAAATTGACAGTAAATTCCATAGATATGAGAACAGGCAGTTCAGGAAGCATCCTATGATCTAATCCTTGCCTTTTTTACTTGTTGAATGCAATGAGAGTATCATGTCTGAACTTCTTTTCTATAGCGAATCCCAGTATGAAGTTTCAGCCACAAACTCTGAATGGCCATCGACGGTCTACTGTGTACGTACCTAAATGTTAGGCGTATGATAACTTGGGATTGTGTGTAATTTTTTACTGAACTCGAAGGACACTCTATTTGGAAAATATGGAAAAATCATGAGTAAAACATTTGGAGCAATGGCGGAAACCGACGAAGAAAGACGAAGCATATTGGCAAGAGAGTTCACCAAGGTCAATATTTATTTTGAAACCTTCAAAGTTACAAACATTGGAGAGGATGCCAAATATGATGTGAGAAACCCTTTTCCAGGTTTTCTGAACTGAAATTCTTTCATTTAGACTAAAAATTTATTTTCTGTCCTGCTTTTATAGTTTTCGAAAACTTTGAGTGACTTGGGAGGAGCAGCAGGGCTCTACTTGGGAATCTGCGTGGTTACTCTACTGGAAATCCTTGAGCTGATTTTGTCTTTGTGCAAATCTTCGATCCGTTTCCTGTGCTGCAGATCATCGGGAAAAATGCAGGATAAGACTGTGCATCCAATGGCTTGGGAAGAGAATACTTTTCCGTCCACTGAAATTTACAATTGAAAAACATCCTCCATCATTCAAATCTGCTCTTCAAAAAGCAGAAAAAAGAAGCAAAAAAAAACGCAAAAATGTTATTCATTTCTGCAACTGACTTATTGTAAGCTGCTGAGGCATTGGCAAATAAATGTACCCCTTTGTCAATATCTACCCCGTTTATCACGCTTTCAGAACGAGGATGGAAGAGGACATCAGCAGATACTACTGTCAGAAGTACTCAAAATTCGTGGATGTTTTCTTCCTAACTTGAAATTTTCATGGAATACTCAAACCAATGTTCATCAGCTAAACAAAAAATTAAACTATACATTATTAAAGCTAGGACGATAATTTCACCAAAAAAGTTTAAAAAATTTTCGTCAATTTGGGGAACAAATTTGCAGTTACAGTTGAAAATCTTCAAACCAAATTTCAAGCTAATCTAAAGATGCAAATGACAATTCCAATGTTCTAGAGCAGGGCTTTTCAACCTTTTTGAAGCGCGTACCCCTATTCATCCTCTGGAACAGTCAGGTACCCCCACCACTAACTTAAAATGTGTGTTTAAATCATGTAATTGACCATATTTTCTAACATTTCCTTGAAGCTTTCTTAATACATTAACATCACATATTTACTCCATCAAATCTCTCTTGTCATTCCCCTTTATTGATGAAGATGATGCATCAGGCAAACAATGTATGTTAAATATGGACTGTGAAAGTTTTGAACCAGTGAATACTTTATTTTCTGTAAATTAAAAATACTAGTTCCATTAAATTCCAAATCAAATTAGTTCACAGCAGGTTATTCTTGGGCCAGATCACTTTCATTTTGCACCTTTGTTTCATTGAGAAATTGATTCATACTAAATTATTTGCCTGCCACACCTTCTACATAGAAATTAAATGCATTGAAATTCAGCAGGTTCAGCATCATCAAATATTACATTGAAAAAAAAAAGAAGCACTGTGCCTTGCCTCCACATTGACCAGCCTTATTAATACTCATGTATGTCAGAGTAACACTTTTCATCATAGAAACACCTAGTGAATTCACTTGTCATTCATTGTAGCAATCAATTCAGGACAAACTCTATTTTTAAAAAATACAGAGAAGCGGCATTATTTTCCAATGAATTTCCTGAAGATATTTCTTGAGTGTGAAAGATAATTTTTAGCAACCCTCAAGGTGTGATGGTATTAATAATCATCATCACTTATTACAATTCAAAGTTCAACATAAAATATTTGTATTAAGCTGCAGCAGAAAATGCCCAAATAAGTAGTTGTCAGGAAAAAAATCAATTTGCTGAGAAAAGAGTAAACAATTTGGATGAGTTTTGGGCACTCAGAGGAAGTGTTCCAACCATGCATCTAAATTGGAAGCACTGCAGAGTTATGAATAAACTGTTGGGTGCTGAAGTCTTGGCATTTGTGCATTCTTTGAGAGCCATTTTTCTGCAAACCAGACTGAAGCTTGGCAAGATTCCAACCATGCATCTAAATTGGAAGCACTGCAGAGTTATGAATAAACTGTTGGGTGCTGAAGTCTTGGCATTTTTGCATTCTTTGAGAGCCATTTTTCTGCAAACCAGACTGAAGCTTGGCAAGTTCTTGGTTTAATGCTCTTGCTTGCACAATGGCTGATTAATTTTGTGTATCCAACATGTTTGTCTCTGGCATTATCCAGAAAGCTGAAAAGCTTGAATTTTTCTTTTCCTAAAAGAATTTAATGTTAGGAATTTTCAGAATTCATGATAATGTTTCTGGGAGACTCAATTTTTGAAAAAGTTTTGTGTTTTTCATCATAACTCTGTCAATCCTTGATATTTTGTAGAGTTTAAACTAAGAAACATGGAACCCTTTACCACCCATCTTACCTTTTCTTTCAATTTTGAAGTTTGTTGCCATAAAACCATTTTTGTAAATTTTTAAAATGTCAAAATTGGGATGCAAAAATTGAAATTTTTAAATTTAGCTCACTGTAATTTCTTTAAAATTTGATCAATTTAAAAGTTTATTGCAGGGTTAGATGCACACTAAAGTTTTAAAAATGTATATATTTTTATAATTTTGTGTATCCAACATGTTTGTCTCTGGCAATATCCAGAAAGCTGAAAAGCTTGAATTTTTCTTTTCCTAAAAGAATTTAATGTTAGGAATTTTCAGAATTCATGATAATGTTTCTGGGAGACTCAATTTTTGAAAAAGTTTTGTGTTTTTCATCATAACTCTGCCAATCCTTGATATTCTGTAGAGTTTAAACTAAGAAAACATGGAAACCTTTACCACCCATCTTACCTTCTTTCAATTTTGAAGTTTGTTGCCATAAAACCATTTTTGTAAATTTTTAAAATGACAAAATTGGGATGCAAAAATTGAAATGTTTAAATTTAGCTCACTGTAATTTCTTTAAAATTTGATCAATTTAAGACTTTATTGCAGGGTCAGTTGCACACTAAAGTTTTAAAAATGTATATATTTTTTAATGAGGAGAATGTGGGAAGTTGAATCAGTTGAAAATAAAAATGTGGAAAAGATTTTTTTCAATTTTCTCCTGATTTTGAAAAAAGTTTTGAGTTTTTCATTGTCAATCCATCAATTTGCAACCTTTTTGAAAATNTTGGTTGAATATTGAATGTTTAGCAAATTTTTGAATTTTGAGAAACACAACACAAAATTCAAAAATTTCTCTTTAGCTCACTATAGTTTCTTTAAAATTTGTTTTATTTCAAAATTTATTGCAGGGCTAGATGCACAATAAATGTTTAAAATTTTAGGAATTTTTAAATTATGACAAATTTTGTAAAATGAATTAGCTGAAAATTAAAATATAAAACAATTTTTCCCAATTTTGAATTGATTTTCAAAAATGTTTTGCATTTTTCATATCTCACTCAATTTTGAAGCTTTTTCAAAATTTCAAAAACAAAGATTCAGAAAACATTTGTGCACCTGCAAAAATCAAAGAAATTTGAAAATTGAGTTCAAATTGAATTTTTGACAAATTTTTAAATTCCAGACAATGGGAAATGTAACCCACCTGCAGGCCTCTCTGGGGCTCTGTGGGAGGGAGGTAAGAGGCAGGAAGGAAGGGAGGGCTGGCAAAAATTTTAAAAAGTGGGAACCTAGGATAGCAACCAGACACTCAAGCAATTTTTACCTCCACCCTTCTGGTCAGAACGCCTGGGTTTTTTTTTTTTTTGTGAACAGTGGTTGGCGTACCCCCTGGCAAGCACTCGCGTACCCCTTGGGGTACGCGTACCACNACACCTGGGTTTTTTTTTTTTTTTTTGGTCAACAGTGGTTGGCGTACCCCCTGGCAAGCACTCGCGTACCCCTTGGGGTACGCGTACCACCGGTTGAAAATCCCTGATGTAGTGTATATAGAGTATACTTTGCTGTTGATTTCACGAGAAATTGTTTTTAACTTGGCTACCCTGTGATTTTCATATAGTCAAGGATAAATAAGTAGCAGTTACATGACTCATTGCCCACTGATGGTAATTGGAAATTTTCTCCAGGGTAATACATTTATCAAAGGCAGTAATGAAGTCTGTTATAATTTGCTGAAATCTTCATAATACAATTTAACCCTTCGTGTGGCAAAGTTGGGATATTTTTGCAAAATTTTGTGCCACTGGGAATAAAAAACCCTACTTTTTTACTAAGGGCTAAGTCAGGAAAAAGTCCAAGATTTTTTTCTAATCCTGCAGAAAATTTTCAAGGAAAATTAAAAAAATCCCTGGCTGGGTGGCATTTTCTCCTGCATTCCTGGCATAGGATTTGCATGGGAAAATCTTGGGAACAAAAGAAAATTTGCCTCCCAGATTTTTCCCAACTTAGCCCTCCTCAACCTAGGCGCATTTCAGTAACCTTGTGTCAAACTGAAATGCGCTGCCCCCCTGGAAAAATCCCAACTCTGCTGCGCACTGAGAAAGAACCCTCTGCTGTCCAAGGGTTACGTTGAAATCATCTGATGAAAAATAAAAGATGGATTTTCTCCTAGTACCTGTTCAGACAAATTGTGACCTCATGATAAAAATTAGTTCAAGTGCTTGTTCTCAAAAACATTTTTTGAAACCCAGCTTTCTAATTTTTGCAGATATTCCATTGTAGCTGCTGCTTCATTGGTCTTAACTTGATGCAGTATTTGCAGTAAAAGTCTTGGTCAGAGAACTTTGTAAGAGGTATTTTAAGATTTTTCTGCTGTTCTGCAAACATTTTAAGGCAACTTGCTGGTCCAAAAAAAAATTCTTGATATTTGCCTGTCTTCAGGCCCAAAAAAGTTTGGGAACACTGCAGAGTACAGACCAAAATAGGTTGAGAAATTCTAGACCAGTGGTGCCCAACTCCACAGTGGTCAAGGGCCACATTAAAAATCAAGCCTTCTCTGTAAGCAACAATGATATAAATAAATTAAATCCTCTGCAACTTTCAAAATGTCAAAATCCTTTGAATATAAGAAAGTCAACAAGCCCCCTCATTTTTCCCAGCAAGCTTGGCAATGTCTCAGAGTGATTCATCTTGCTCTAGTCTTTGTGTCTGGACTTGCCAGCAAAGATTGTATTTCTTGGAAACATACATTTTTTCATGACAAACAAGACAAAGCATTTGGCCATTGAAGATTGTGAAAAAAATTTGCTTGTCCATTCTTCATTGGACACTCTGCATCAATTGCCAATTTTTTGTGCGTGTCACTGCTTTCAGCCATTCTTATTCATTCAAACTTCAGCTAAGGCAATTTGTTGGGATTGTCTCCGGGCCACTTTGAAGGCCTCTATCTGGCCCGCGGGCCGTATCTTGGGTACCCCTGTTCTTGACATGATTCAGTAACATTACAATACAAGTACTGTATATATAAAAAACTAAGCTCACCAACATTTTGTTGCAATGTCTGTGTGTTCATCTGCGGAGTGCCCCGAAAAATTTTTTCTCAGTGCTCATCTCACCCCTCCTCAAGTTCTACTTTGAAGGTATGCGGAACGCTCTATATTTTCCGCTGTGGCCCATAAACAGAGTGTTAAACTTAATCAATCATTCAGGGATGCCACCGAGAGAATCGTTATCGGGGTTCTGTCTCACGAGTATTCATGCATACAAGTTCCATCTGTGAGCTGTGAAAAATTACCTGCTCTCTTCGTTCAAGATGGTGTTTCTCGAAGTACTGATATCGTACACACGCACTGAAACCCTGAGCTGGACAAAAGCTGGTAAATTTGATGCTGTACAGTAGTAGCATTATAAAGTTTTCTTTCCATCCCAATATGTTCAGTAATTTATTTGTGCATTTATTTTCGGAGTAGTGACACCTGATAAACTGACCGATACTGAAGATCAGTCAGGCATTTCAACCTTCATACAATTTACGTACTGTGGATTTAAGTTTTTATTCGCTTACTTACATTTTCCGAATCTTTGCCGCAGAAGCATTGATTATTCATGCATAATAATTATTTACAATACCTGCATGTAAGCATGTCCATCAGCATTCAATCTGATGTGCCCGTTTTCCAGAAAATGAATCAGTGAGACCCAGGGCCGGATTAAACCAAATTTTGGCCTGATGCTGCAAAAAAATGGGCCTAATATTCCTTTGCAAAAATGAATTTTCCTCACACAATTAAAATTTTATTTGTAGCAAACAATGGATATCTGAGGCTAGAATTCAATCACACAAAGATATTTTAAAATTCCGCCTCAATGAATATCATTACAATACTGTACACTTTTCTTATAATGAATTTTTCTTGGTCCTGGCAGTTTCTCCATAGGCACCATGTTATGGATGTTTCATTGCAATGAACTCATTTAGGCTGTTGTCTAATTCTAAAAAAATGTTGGGCTTGATTCTGTGCATAGACTATAGCAATCATTTCATAAATGGTGGAAGGAATAAAAAAATGAAAAGGTGCAGCATTTCAATTTCTTGAAAGACTAAAGATTTTTGTAGAGAAGGTTTGGTGTTCAAAAAATGTACATCACATATTTTTCTGGAAATTCTTTAGCTACATTCCAAATTTTATTCCTTTCTTTCAAGTAAACAGTGTCCTAGAAGATATGCTCTTCTGTTTGAAGGAGCATCAGACAGGTATGAGAAAAAAATTTGATATGCATATGTGGCATTTCCCAAAACACTCAAAGGGACTCTTTCAAAGCTTTGGATTATGCTTGTACAAAATTTACATTTCAAAAGAATATAACAAATTATAAACCTGAATTATTAGTCAACAGGCTGTTTTTGTGTTCAAATATTACAGATAGTGTATGAAACCCCCCCCCCCACTTACCATTGTTACAACAAATATTACTTGAATTACTCAAAAGTCAAAATCCCCCACCTTGACTTCATTAAACATTTATTAACAGTGGCATACATCCAAAAACAGTATGAAAATTTATCTCAATTAAAAATTTCCAAGTATATGCTCCAACATAAAACTCAGTGCATTTGAGAATAATTTGAATTGTTTGGTTAGGATAGGAATGGGCCCAGAAATATCAGTTGTTCAACTCATGGCACAAATGATGTAAATATCCTAAGAAATTCATGATGATGAAGTATGTGTCTGTGTTAAAAACAGAAATTTCTCATTATAATTTCAACTTTAACTTGGATTGCATGTCAAAATTACATCCATTTATTCCATTTATTGAAAAAGTCATGAAATTTTAACCCATGCTGTGTGGATTACTTGGGATATTCTACAAAATTTGGTGCCCATCCCATGAGCACTTGAAAAAAATTGCATTTCTGAATGAATGCTCAAGTGAGGAAAAAATTCGATACAATAATTTATTCCAATCCTGCCAAAAAGTTTGATTAAGATTTATAAATTGTCTTAAATTTTTAGTGTCATCATTGAAAAAAAAACTTTCAGTGTTCACATTGGAATGAGAGGCTCCACAAAAAAGCAAAGAGGAATAACATTCAGGAAGTTGGAAATATCTTGATTACCTCAAAAATGTTTATATAGAATGAATAGAGCAATGGACAATCTAGAAAATACATATTGAAACTGTCAGTTTTCTTATATTAAAATCTGGCAAGAATTCAAGATGAAGACATATTTTCCCACTACAAGATACACAGGGATATGTAAAGAATAACAATCTCAGTTTGCCACACTCCTGCTACAAGAATTCCTTATAGAAAATATGGCTTGGACAAGATACCCTTGGCCTGGTGCACTGTAGAAAATTGCAGGGGGGATATCTTCCTGTTTCCAAAGATGCAAGGTGAAGAAGGTTTTTTAAGGGGTGTGTTCAAAAAGAATCTTCATTGCAAAAAAGGGACATTTGGATTTATGGAACCCAGAACAATCACAAAGGGGGGAGGGGGATAAGGAGGCACAGCAGGGAATTAATTGAATAAAGGTAATTTTCTACATCACAATTGTTTATTAATCACTGATTTTCAGAAATAAACTATTGTAATTTTCAAACACCATAAAAATCTCTTCAAACAATTTTTGAAGCCACCACAGGCTTTTGAAGTGGGGACAGGACTCACAGGAGAGACACTTTTATACCACCACCAGGGCATGACAGGAATTGAAATCTTTGATCTAGATTTTCACTTCCTATGATGTCTGTGACACTGCCTTTCCTGTTTTTGATATTAGGCCTGGATACATGTTTAATGCAGGAATGATTGTGTTCTCTCAACCAAGGACATGTCTGTGATGTGGTTTCCTGTTAAAGGGTTTCTATGTGCATGCACATAGAAACCAATTTAATTCAAGCACACTACAGTGTGCTTGAATTGATTGTGATGCCTAATTTTAAAAATCTTTAATACTTTTCTCTTTTCTGCTTTTGCAAACTTTTCATACTCTCTCAAAAGTTTGAATTCCCCAGCTTGCAGAATTTTAAATTTTGAAATTCACCAGCTTGGGGAATTTCATTCTGAATTCGTAGGGGGCCTATTTGCCTGGTGTACCTAATGCTACAGCATCAATAGCACCCACCATAATTTGGCCCTGGTGAGACCCTCACATGCTGACACCTTGGCATGGGAACAATTTGACATACTGACATTTATTTTTCAATAAAAAAACCATAAAATTCCCAACATAAGGACAATGACTCAACATGAGGACATAGCATGATGAGATTGCAACTAAATTTTAGGAAAATTGACTTTTATCAGGGTTAATTGCGAGAAAACAGATATTTCCAACCCTAAGATATATATACAAAAAATTCTTTGGTACTTTTCCCATCACTTTCAGCTGATTAAAAAAATTACCTTCAGCACTCTGAAGGGACTTCCTTCTCTTTCTGTGACTTGGATGTTATTTCTGCAGATGCCAACATTTCAATGAACTGTACAGCAGTGGTATACTATTCAATGCTCCAAATGTTCTTATTGGGTTGAAAATATATTCACTAAATCAAATTCAGGGGCAAACAAATTATTTTTCCATAGAATTCTGAAGAATATTTCTTCTATAAAACACCAATTAAAATTTATATGATGTAAGTCTATGGGAAAACAAGACTCCACTTAGGAAAAATTCAACTTAGGGACACTCTTGATGCACCAATTATGTCCGCATCTGGGGGTCTCACTGTATTGCATCTGCGTTGCTGTGCTGTACAATACTTGGGTTTTCATACGATATAAATAAGGCAAAATTTAATGTACAATAGCTGCATGGTAGATTATTGGCGATGTTCAGTTGGACCGAGCAGTATAATCACTCTTTCATAAAATGAAAAGAAAAGTCGTTCGTTGTACAGTGTACATACATTTTGAGACACCACGTTTACGTCTTTTTGCCCCGTGCTTCTAATCTTATTCTTACTGACACCTTATTCACTGCTAATGAATTCCTGAATAGATGATTAAACTAAGCATTCTGCCGTGATCGTAATGGTAACACGGAGTAAATACAGTACTGCCTTCAATCTTGATCAAGGTAGTGTTTAATGTGTCCCCAGAAGACACATAATTGCCTTGTCTGAATAATAATATGCTTATGGCGCAATAAAAACTATCACGATTATACAGGGAAATTAAAATTTTCACATTGAGAATCAAGCTCTTGAAGTCGAAATAAAAAAAAACTTGGATTAACGGCTGGACGTTTCACCATTTTTCTTGGAGACTTTTGAAAATTCTTCCTTCTCGATGAGAGGACTTTAGCATGCATAAGACTATGAAAAATTCTGCGAGAAGAAGAGGACTTGCGAAGTTCAAGTGGAAGATTATCTATTTTTTTTCTCCAGCAATGTGAAAACCGGTTTTAAATAAATTTGATGAGCGGAAGTGTGACAACGTCGAAAGCATGCAGAGGTCGGCGAAATTCAGGAGATTATTCATTTCCCTTGACACACATTTACGGGGCTTAAACCGATTCGGACCAACAAATTCCCATGAAGTCGAAAGCGGAATAGTGTTTCTCAGTGTATACGGTATCTTGTTTTTTTTTTTGTTGTAAATAGGAGGAACACTTTCAGAATGTTTGCTTTTGTGTGTTTCTGTTTAGAGGAGTGTCAAGAGGTCATTTCTGCTTTGCACTCAAGAGCGGGAGCGGGATTCCCACGGGGTGCATCACGCGATATGAGTTCGCCCAAGAAAGAAAACTCACGATACCGTATATATAAGCGTCTTTCTCCAGCATCTTCTTCACTGGACTTTCGCATAATCAACAAGTCTGCTGCAGTTATTTTTTTTTATTTTTTTCCTCGGACACAGGAGATTCACGGAATGCCTTCAAATCGAATCCCACACTTTACTTTTACTGCAAAACTTTGCAACGCCAGTAGTATATAGTGAGCTGAAAGACGGAGAAAGGAAAGTTCGAGACTTTCGGTTGATGGTGGTGCATCATTTGAAGAAATCGCATCACGTTTCGATATTTTCCGATATATCGTGTTCATCTTTATACAGTATATACAGTACATGTTTCCGGATCCGATGAGAAAACTGCGGGTTAAATTGCAAACCGAATCTCAACATATACAGACATTGAATGGAACAAGTTTTCTTCGAATGCTTTGACGAAGAAAAAAAGCACACAAAATACTGCACTGTACCGGAATAAAAATTGAAAGAAAAAAACATCGAAAAAAGGGAAAGATTTTCTTCCTGTCCCGAAGTTGGTTGCGTGTTCAGTGGTATATACTATACGCATTTCATTCCTCGCGACCTCACAAATTCCGTATTTCTTGCCTCGGTCTTTCGTTTGTTTATTGTTTGCCTCAATTTTTTGGGGCCTCTATCCGTTTTTTTGTTGCTGTCTGTCGTTGAAGGTGATGGACGGCTCCAATGTAAACGTTAATTAGGGTCAGCGCTTGAGTAGGAAATGAAAAGTCTGCAACGCCCATCTTCACGGGGTCGTATATTTCGAGAGGCAATTGCGTTCGATACCAGTTCATTCTTTTTTTCATGGCGTTTACAGTACATATATAGTGAGATGAGTGGAAGGCAATAGAAACTGCCTCCAATCCATCCATAAAAAAAAACTGAGTTTACATTGAAATGAGAGTTTCTTATACTGAATTATTCTTTTACGCCAAAATTAACTGGCTCAAGGCGTGAGTAGCTCTCTTTTGTGTGTGTGTGTGCATGATATGAGCAAATAATAATTAATAATAAATGCACGTGGACTCTCTTTCTCTCTCTACAAAGAAATGCAAGTGACAAACAAACATTTATTGTACAGCATTGTTTTGCAACCTTTTTTGGCCCAGGGACTGGCGAATTTCCATAAAATTTTTTGCAGATCAGCAAATTTCCAAAGAAGTTCCCGTGGATCAGCAAAGTTTCATAAAACTTTTGCAGGCTCAGAAAGTTTTGTCTGAAAGACTTAATGGCACGTACTTGAAAACGTTATGCTTTTATACAAAAATTAAGCAAGGAACCAATGAAGCAGCTATAGTGGAATGTCTTCAAGCAATTAGAAATTAGCTGGGCTTGAAGAAAGGTTTCTCAGAATGATGAATCAATATAATTTGTTTCAGCACATGAATATTTGCCTGAAAAGTTTTATTTGGAGAAAAGAAGACTACTATTTTTCATCAGATAATTTCAACTGCCATTGTATTTTTGATTTTGAATAAATACATCATACGTCATTGCTATTTTCATATTTTTATTATGCTGAAGAAAATATCCAGTGGACCATCAAAAAACTTTGGTGGACCAGGGGTTGGGGAACTTTGTTTTAGAGAACCCCTACCTATAACTAATGGCACCTCACCACATTGATCCATATTTCTAATCCACAAATGAAAAACAAAACCATAAATAACACCCACTATATGCCTGCAAGGAGTTGAGCCCTTTAAAATTTATGGAAACTCTGCACACTCAACAATTAAAACAAGCACATTTTCTCCAATATTTAAACTTTAAATATATTCAGACTGCATATTTGAAGTGCACCCCATTTACCTCAAACAGCAGTGCATCTGCTTAATTTTTTCTCAATGATATTATCATTTGAATACGTGGGACTTGTTATAGGAGTACCCGTATTCAAAAGGAATCATCTCTTGCATTATTTAACGATGTAAGGAATTTAATTGGGATTTTGCGTTAGAAAAAGTTTTTCACATTCCTGCAATATTTGAAGTTCTTTCGAACCAATGAAGCAGAACACGAAATGCGCATCCTTTGTAATCATTTCCATCTTCTGCTTCGAAAAAAAGAAAGGAAATCCTTGCATTCTTCATCGATTAGAAAAAAAAAGAAAAGAAAATTATCTTTGTTTGATGGGCTGAAGCATGCGAAGAGTAGCTTCTCAAGTAAGAAGCTTGTTAATCGATGCATTCACAGCAAATACCGGGAATAGATTCGTGTGTTCCAGCTGCCTGAGAACAAAATGAAAAATACTTTGAAAACCATGGCATAAAAAAAAATTGATATTATATAGTACCCCAACCGAAGCAAGTGCCGCGGGAATTTATGGGACTCGACCACATCAGCACGGGACACACAAACACAATATTGTAACCGCATTCCGCCATAAAATTTATTCGCCCCAACCCACTTCGAAGACGACCCACACGGGTTCCGTCGTCGTCGTCGTCGTCATCGACCCCGAAAGAGATGGAAGATGAAAAAGAAAAAAAACTTTCCCCCTCCACACCCGTGCGAGCACATTAAAATTCCTGCTGTGAATGGAACAAAATGAAAAAAAAGTATTTGAAATACCAGAGAGGAAAACTCATCGCACCAGTACATCATCACCGTAACCCACGGTTCGTGAGACACCCGGCGCGGGGATTCCTATTGGGTCATAAAATTCATCAGCCAAGTCGGGTCATTTAGCCAAACGAGGAGACTCCATTCGGAGTCATCCTGGATGGGTCCCAGACGGGTTCGGAATGGCGCAGATGCGATTCGAAAAAGTTCCTTACACGCACTCACCCGGATACTGAGAATGTTTTAGGATTATTAGTTGTGTGAAGTACTGATTCGAAGTATTTTTTTTAAAGACCCCTCGCGGTCTCATTGGTAAATTGTCTAGGGTTCATCATTGTTATTTTACCTTATGTGATTCCAGGGATGTGAAAGTTATTGACGACCTGCTCATCAATGCATGAGGGATTCATCATTGTTGGGACCAATCATGCATGTGTAGAATTCAAGAGAAATGGACATTCAGGAATAAAACTCAAGAATTTGGTTGGACTGCAACAGGGTGTTTTTCACCCTATTTTAAAGGAGGTATAATTCAATTCTTTCTGGTAGATACACTTTCACGTTTTGCAACCATTTTTGAAGGATAGACATGAGACTTCAAAACAGAATGACGAAAAAAATGGAGAGAAAGGAATCAGGAAAACTATCCTTCAAAGATCAGTGAAAGTTTTTTGAAGATATCCTTTGAGTTTCTCTAATTTTAGTCAGGATGATTATGATTTTAGTCATGGGAACTTGGAGGTTTGAGAACAGGCATGAGAACCAGAATGACACCCTGTTCTCACAAAGATGTGCAAGGACAAGTTTTTGGAGAATACCAATTCTTGCTTTTTACAATTATGCGTGACAAATTGGAGTTTTGCCATTTTGATTTGCAACAAAGCATGCAGACTGCTTTTGAATTTGGCAAAGCCTTGATGGAGATCTTTGATCTTTGGAAGTGCCTACCTGTATTTGATAATTTTATAAAACTCTGTGGGATACCTTATGGTCGATTCAAAATATTTCTGTAGAAAATATAAGTCTACTTCGGCAATCCATTGGCTAAAGATCTCCTGAAGTAAATAAATCGATGTAAAATGAGGATTTTGCGGGTGCGTTAAATTAAAACTTTCTTGAAAAAAATGAGAATGGTTTCCGTTAAAAATTTTAAATTCAATGGAAGTTATTCATGAATATAAAATAAAGTTGACGGGCCGCTCATTTCACTGAATAATCAGAAAATCCTGAAAGCTCTTCCATCATGTTTTCGTTGCGAGAAGAAATGCAGGTGGGCTCTCTTTAAATTCAAGGGACCTGAAAAATTATTCGTGGACAGAATTTCTTTGTATAGGTAACCCCTATAAAATATATGAGATGATAACTCTATGGGAACAAACAAATTTCGATAATGCAGGTGATGACACTTTAAATGGCAAACATTGTCAACATTGTCAGTCACACGTAAATTTCTCACTCTCTACTCCCCCCCCCCCCCCC